TGGGCATATTTTTCTGAATACTCATATCTTTCTTCCTGAGACTTTAAATGTATGAAAGTGATTTTCATTGACATTGTCCCATGCTGCAGAGGCTCTAATTCATCCCTGTCATCACTTTAGTTTCTATTGTAATTTCAGGAAGTTCACGCTTACAATTTTTTTTGGCACATATCTAGTCTGATATTCATGTCATTTGGATTTTCATTTCTGACATTGTATTTTCTATCTCTAGAAATTGCATTTCATTACTTTAATATCCATTTATTATATTCATGTCTTACACATGCTGAGCAGATTTATACGATTTATTTTTTAGTTTTTAACTATTCCATTATCTTTATTTTTATGTGTATGAGTGTATTCTCTGCATGTAGGTAAGTGCAACTGTGTCATGCAATGCCCATGAAGATCAGAAGAGGGCAGCAGATCCCCTGAGACTGGAGTTAAGGACAGTTGTTAGCTGCCATGTGGGTGCTGGGAACTGAACCTGGGTCCTCTGTAAGAGCAACTGGTGCTCTTAACCACTGAGCCATCTCTCCAGCCCCATTTACATGATTTATAATAGCTCTTTGAAGGATCTTCTAGTTCTGTCACCTCTGTCAGTTCTTTCTGTACTGATTGCTTTTTCCCTTGGTCACTGCATTCCTAGTGATTACTGACTACATGATGAACTGGTATGATTTTATGTTAGATTTGGTTCTACTTTATTGAGTTATGGAGACATTCTTTTAAAAAATATTTTATTGAGTTTTTATGCATTTCACTTAATAGGTCTTAATCAAATTTAGGCCCCCTTCCTCATCTGTGCCCTCCATTTCATCCCCTACCCCTGGATATCAAGCATTCTGCCATATATGTTAAGTTCTATCCAGTCAAACATTTGTACTTAGATAGCCCTTGGAGCAAGTTCATCCACTGGAGTCTAGTCAGCCTATCTAGAGTCACTCCCTTAAAGATCAACTGTCTTTCACCGAGCAGTAATCAGTTGCCAATAGTTCTTCAGCTAGGGCTGGGGCCTGCTGCCCATTTCTCCAGTTCTCCAGGGTTTTTGTCTGATTGAGTCAGCATGGGTCTTGTGCATGCTGTGACCATTGTTGCAAGTTCATATGAGCAAGTTCCCGGTGGTCTTAAAGCCTGTTTCCTTATGGTCGTGCACCAAGCCAGGCTCTTACAATCTTTCTTCCCCCTCTTCTGTAGTGGTCCCTGAGATATGGATGGATGAGTTTTAATATAGGAGTCCTATTCAGGAACACACTCTGTTTTCTAAAACTTAGCCAGTTGTGGCCTTCTGTGTGCTGTTTTTTTTTTTGTTGTTGTTTGTTTGTTTTTTTTTGAGACAAGATCTTACTCTGCAACCCAGGCTGAGCTTAGGTTCACTGTAGGCCAGAGTGACCTTGGAGTCATGGCTATCCTCCTGAATCATCTTCTTGAGTGCAGGGATTATAAGGAGGAGCCATCATGCCTGACCAGACTAAATATGTAATATATTTGATTGTATCTATGCCCCACTTCACCCCTCCAATTCCTTTGGGCAACGTACTAGGTACCACTCTTGAAGAGAAATGACCATCTCCCCCAATAGCCCTCAACTTCCAGTAGCTACTCAGATAGGGGTGGGACCTCATGTGCCTCTCTGCCACCCATGCTGGAATTTTGACTAGCTGGCTGGATCTTGTATCCTGTAGGAGGGTTTTTTTTTTTTTTTTTTTTTTTTTTTTTTTTAAAACGTTTGGGTTACATGGCTAGATGCAGGTGATTGGAGTAGAATTTTGAAGGTTAAAGCCTGGAAAATTGAAAATTAAAAGGATATAGACTAATTTCAGAATACTTAGGCTTTTCTTTGTACATTGCTAACAGTTTCCTTATGGCTGGGGCAATTTGTTTAAAGTAATACTTGAAAAATAAAAAGTTTCAATAAATTTTCTTCCAGGTAGAAAATTCAGTAGATTTAGGATAGCTCCTGGGCTATTATTACAAATATTTCCCATGCCTTGCTGTCTATTTGGATTTGTTTATCTGCATGTTATTACTTATGTCTGGAATTTCTTAGAGCTTTCATTTCTCTAAGCTCTCCCAGCATTTCAAGACCAAAGTCAAATGTCTCTTGCTCCTCTACAGAGTCACAGGACCCCTTCAGATGAATGCAATCTCTTGTTTTAAATAACAACTCAAATCAATAAGGCATAGGAAAAATCCTTGCTAGAATTATGGAGGTTTAGATGAATACAACTATAAAAGTGTTTGAGGTCTTCAGAAACAATGATTTACATAAGTGAAGAAAGCTACCAGACCATTGGGTGGTATGCTGGTCAGGGGTCTTCATAGCCTATGACCTGAATCCCACCCCATATTCCTGGCCATGGTTCCTTCCCAGAGTCATCTTTGCCTTGGGTTTCTAAGGCTCAACAGCTCCATGATTCTTGTTTTGGAACTGAGTTTCTGATCATCATAGCCAAGGAACTGAGCCTTAGGAAATAAATTATCTGTGATGATTTAACATTATCATTACCTTCCTTTTACAATTTTACAATTTTGGTATATTAAAATACCATCTCCTGTTTGAGTTCTTTCCATAATGAGTAGAAAACAAACTTTTAAAAAATGTATTTTTTTAACAGAGCATAGAGCAGGGGTTTATTTACAGAAGAGTGGGCCCCCCCACATTTAAGGCTGTGCCATAAGGTCCACACTCAAATACAGATCCTGTGACCTCCCAACAACTGCACAAAATGGTGAGAGAGGTTCCTCTTGATGTTCTCGGTTTATATATCCTTTGCTCCTCCCCCCACATGCACCTAAAATTGACTGATTGAATGGGAGGGGTAACTGACTCCCTCCTCCACTCCTTGATGAGAATGGGAAGGAGGCGTAACTACAGTTTGCCAGCATAGTGGTCAGAGGACATTTCCAGTTGACACTCCACCCCTTCCTCTGGCTCTTTCATTCTTCCCACTAACTTCTTCCGCAAAAGTCCTTGAGCCTTGGAGGGGGTGGTAGGTGTGGGATGATCTTCCTCCCATTGTGGCAAGGCACTGAACTGTTGAGTCTCTGCATCATCTGTTTTCCATGGGCAGTTTCAGTGGGATTACATCTACTATAAAAACACACACAGCAAGAAGCAAGAACATTGAAACAGTGACTGCTGTAGTAACTTAACCTGTGGTCAGTACTTTAGCAGGTGCATCATTTCCATCAAGCAAAGCAATTGCAGTGACTTCCTGCTGGGGCCTATATTCTCCCTGCCATGCAGGCTTGGCCTGGTCTACAGTACCAGATGTGTGTTCCACATCCCTAGGTGCAGGCATTATATCCAATCAAAAATATGCTGATTGTACAGACACTAGACTCTCCACTATTGCACCAGCAGGAACATCTTGATTGGTATGTTGATAGCGCAGCACTCAGGGTCCATCATTGAGCAGAATTATAGGAGATAGTTCTCCCCCAGCCATCCTCATGTTGCCTTTTGGCACCATGAAAGCCACCCATCCGTGGCAGGGAGTTTCCAACTTAGTCCAAGCTTGATTTCTCCCTCTCCCAGGCTCACATCACGCAGTGTCTTCAACAATAGGGGTTTCCCATCCACTTCTGGTGTACAAACAACATTATTGGCAATGGCCTTTATTGTTTTGGGGACCTCTAGTGTCCCTCAGGCCAACAGGTTATAGGGGGCAACCCACCTCTGGCAGTGGGATTTTCTTTTTTAATATTCTTTTATTTATTATTTTTATTTTATGTATATGTGTGTATTGCCTGCATGTAGGTAAGTACACCTTTGTCATGCAATGCCCATGGAGGACAGAAGAGGCTGTTGGATCCCCTGGAACAGGAGTTGCGGACAGTTGTTAGCTGACATGAACCCGAGTCTTCTGCAAGAACAGTCAGTGTTCTTAACCGCTGAGCCATCTCTCCAGTCCATGGCACTGGGATTTTCATTTAACAACTGTATTGCTTTTGAAAGGGCTCTCTTCCAAGAAAACTTAAACTTTTAAAAATTGGCCATAGGTAGCTCTTCTGTAAACTACATGCATATAGCAATATATTTATGCACAATTTATATAATTTATCATTTATTATTTATTGTTTAATGTCTGCAAGTTCAGTGTTATTAACATGCATATCCACCCCTCTCAAAACTATATAATCTATACCTATCACTGTGTTTGATAGAGAGTAGAAAATAGATTTTTGTTGAGTTTCTTAAACTAAAAGGGAAGAGAAATAAATAAACTATTCAAGATCTGTGGCTGTATGGGAAACTAGCATTTGGAAAGCTTAAATCAGATAGTTGCCTTGGTTATACTTCAAATTCCAGATGGCTCATAGAAGTAAAGTATAAAAATATAAATATCACTATCTAGAATACAATGAATTAGTGTGTAAGAAAGAAAAAGGCTTTTAGCATAAAAATTAGGAAATCACAAGTAGTGATAGAATTAGCATAGCAGATACACTAACTGCATATATGATATACATATGATATACAGTTCACACAAAAATAAAGAAGAAAAGTCACAACCAGTTCAGCAAATCACCATTGTGACTTTGCTATACTAGAAATATAGATGAACACACTTGTGTTTTTCTACAACAACAAAATTTATTGAATAATAGTAAATTCACAGCACAGAGCAGTTTCAAAGGCAATAATTTGATTGATAATTTTGTTCTCCTTAGTAATCTGGTGTTCTAGTTTATCTCTCCATTGCTGTGACAAAACTCTCTGACCAATACCAACTTGGGGAGGAAAAGGTTTATTCAGCTTACATCTCCCAGGTCACAGTTCATTATGGAGCCCAAGGTAGGAACTCAGGCCAGGAACCTGGAGGCAGGAGCTGAAGCACAGGCCATGGAGGAACACTGCTTATTGGCTTACTCCCCTGGCCCCTGATCAGCCTGCTTTCTTATGCAACACAGGCCCACCTGCCCAGGGGTGGCACCACCCACAGGGGGCTGGGCCCTCCCACATCACTCAGTAATCAAGAAGATGCCCCACGGACATGGCCACAGGCCAGTCTTATGGAGGAAGTTCTCCAATTGATGCTCCCTCAATCCAGGTGTGTCAAGTTGACACTAAAGCTATCCAGCACATCTGGTCCAAGTGAACACAGGTTCTTTTATTTCAGTCCTAATTATTAATATTAACTTTCCTGTTACATACTACATAGTAAATACATCTTTAAGTGTATATGTGACGTACAGAATGGACACAAGGGTTAAAGAATTAGCAGGGTTTCACAAGGTGTTGGAAGTGGACTGACAGAAATGTAAATGGTCAGTATTGATAAAATAAGGAACACAGCTCTAGGGAAGATGCAGCTGCTTATAGTCCAGCCCTGGCAGAATCAGGATTGAAATCAAAGGTGCAGAGCTGAGTCCAACTGCAAGGGGAACAGGGTCAGTTGGTTCCAGCAGGCACAAGCAGATGGATAGACAGAGGTCTAGATGGGCTAACAGGAGTGTGGGAAGATGGCAATTAAGTAGGCCATATCAACAGCGGGAACCAAGCCAAGCCAAAGCTCCTGGGACAATCAGGAGTTCTCTGCCTATTGGCTCTTGACACATAATGCCAGGTGTTAGGCAAAGGTAGGTAAGGGCTGCCATGGTCATTGATAGGGACTGTCAATGGTTATAGTGCTGGGTGTCTACATATTTATGGGTTCCAAATGAGGGAATTTGACTTTTTTCTCAGTCTATTGTCTTAATAAGTTCTTGGGCCTCATTTTCCTATATGATTTTAACACACTAATGTGTTTCTATAGTCTCAATTCACTCCAATGAATTTACAGGGCGGCATCCCTTCCACTCTAGGAATAAGTCATTTATCATTCTGTGCCACATGGGTAAGATCAGACTGATGGTGTTGTCTACGTGTCTACCCAGGGCACAGTCATTCTCCGTCCTCAAAGTAAAGTCAAAAAGTGCTTGTCAAATGGAGTTTCTCAGGACAAGGTGCAGTCTGAAAAAAAAAACCCACTATTTTACACAATATGGAGTGATTTACAGCAGGCTTGCCTGATCTTAATAATGCTTTATTTATAGAGGTATTTTATAACTCCACAAAGAAACAATGCACAACAGGAATACTTGCAAAGGCCATGACTTTGCAGTTTACAAAAGAAAGACAAATGGCTAATTTTTACAGTTCAAATGTTCTGTTCATCATGAAAATCCAAATAGAAAACAGTATGCCATATTTTAATACATCAAAGTAGCAAATTCTGAGAGGAAGTTAATGATGAAATTATAATTTTATAGCTAATATATTTCCTTATGGTCAATCCTTGATTTGTGATTATCTGGGTACTCAGTTCCAGAGCAACAGATGTGGGTGGTGGTGTGGAGCCTCAGAGGTTGAAGGCAGAGATAATTCTACAAAGGAGCTATGACCAGAAGATGAGTTTGGAACGTCCATTTATGCCATGGTCACTTCATTGTTTCAAAGTCCACATCAATGATGACGACTCCGTTATTTATAGCCCTGAGCATCTGTGGAAGGCCAACAGTGCTTTCAAAGGTGGGAAGAGCCATTGGCCTTTGGGTTTGGTTGACTCATGCTCTTTCCCAGTGCCTGCCCCTTGGATGATGGTGATGATAATGATGATGATGATGATGATGATGGCGATGATGATGATGATGATGATGATGATATTACTTGACCAGAGAAATTCTCCATGGCCAAGTCTCATGTTCCCTGCCTGATTCTATTTTCCTGTTATCCACATGAGACCTTAAGCCCAAGAAATGTAATGAGAAGCTTATGTTATTTCCTCCAGGCAACAAAGAGTAGCCAGAAAGAGCTGGTGAGGTTTGTACATAGTGTTTCCAGGCCTCTGAAGGGTGGAGTTTGATCTGTGAAGCACCAATAAGGAATGTCTGTTGTGCCCAAAGAGGGAGGCCATGCCAAAATTCCTCCATGAGGTGGCCCTGTACTGAGTGGAACAGTTAGTGTTTCAGATACGATAGTGGGTGGTGGAGAAAAGGACAGCTAGGCTTGGCTCCTGCTAGAGTTGGGGGAAATCCAGACTAATTAATGCACATCTTCTGAAATGTTCAAAAGAATTTGGAGATTTGGCTCTTTAAATATTGGCAACTAAAAATTACAATGATGTCAGCAAAATGCTTTGTGTTCCAGCAACATTCAGACCAAATAGGCCTTCAAGTTGAAATCTCTGCTTTATACTAGAATATCTCAGAGGAAAATGACTGCTTATCTTGGGAAGTGTAGCAGTTAGGGAGGTCCCTCATGATGACCTGCAGCTGTCCATAGTGGGGGCTTTGAGATAGAAATGGAGGCCCTGCTTCCCCTCCCTAAGAGAAGACATACACCCAAATCTTTCCTAGGAGAAAATGGGTGAGCTTTCCTCAGCTGGAAAACTCAGGACTAGAGTGTGAGAGTCCCTACTCTTGATTTGCTTTTCTTGTGAAGACCAAGGTAATGTCCAGACAAAAGTGCCAGTTACATTCCCTGTGCCTTATAGTGACCCACCACAATGGGTATACCCTTCATTAGCATGCTTTGCAGACATTGATTTTCCTCTGTGTGGGGTTGTTGGAAACTGGAAGTAACCGGTTGTACTGGAGGGGACCAGTGGCTTAGCCACTGAACTAGTGTCCTAGGATTGGTATAACAAGTTTATAACAGGCTTAGTGGCTTAAAATGACTAAAGTTATGGTTATGGAAGTCAGAAGTCCAACAGGAGTTTTGGGTGACTAAAAATCATTTTGTGTGGGTTGACTGCTTCCTGAGGCTCCATGGGAAAATCTGATCCTGCATATTCCAGCTTCTGGTGGCCAAAGAATTTTTGATTTGTGGATGAATTGGTCCAACCTCTACCACATTACTTCTCTGTTAAATCTCCCTCTTATGATATTTTTGATTACACAGAGTGTCTATCTATGTATTTCAGAATCATCTCTTACCTCAAAACCCTTCACTTACTTATATTTTCAAAGTCTCCTTTGTCGCATGCACAGTGTGTAAATTAGCTTTCAACTGCACTAACAAATACTTGAGATAATCATCTGACCAAAAAAGACTTATTTTAGCTCACAATTTTGGAGGTTTCAGTTTTTCCCTATGGATCCCATTGCTTTTGGGCCTTTGGTGAGTCTGCAAATCATGGCAGGAGCACGTGGCAAGTACTCACCTAATGGATGGGAAGCAGAAAAGCAAGAAGACAGGTCTGTCATACCGCCATCCCTTTCAAGGTCATGCCTCCAATGGCCAGAACTTCCTTCCATGTCCCACTTAAAGGTTCTGCTACCTACCAATAGTGCCACTCCAGGGACCAAGCCATTCACATGTGACCTTTGGAGAACACTCATCAAACCACAGCACACAGGTTCTAGGAACTTGGAACTATGTACTTGTAGGAGCTGTATTTGGCTACCCACAGACTTGTTAACTCTCTGGACTTTGGTTTAAAAAGAGAAATGTTCATCAGATAGATACAGATGGACTTTGCCGGTGACTAATGGCAAGTGTGGAAAGACCTATAGCCTAAGGAGTAGAGAAGGCCTTAGGAATGAATGTGATGACAGAGGTTTCCCCCAATGTCCCTAGCTGGACATGTTCACACCTAAAGAAGGGAGAAGGACAAGGCTCAGTAACAGCTGGTTACAGTCCAGGTTCCCATTTGCCCCAGGATATCATTTTTATTTCCTCTAGGCTGACAGTGAACACTGAAACAAATACAATGTTTTGGTTTTCCTCAGAGAGGGCTTTTCAGAGCTCCCACTTGTCCCCTCCACACCTTTCATCTCGGTCTTCAGCCTGTGGAAACTGGCTTTTGATCTTCCACTTTTCACACATAGAGCCTTCTTGACTACCAGGAAATGTTTTAATGTTCACATCAGCGCCTTACATAAACATCCTAGCACTCGGGAGGCAGAGGCAGGCGGATTTCTGTGAGTTCAAGCCTAGCCTGGTCTACATAGTGAGTTTCAGGCTAGCTGGGGTTTGAGACCCTGTCTCAAAAAAATTCCCCCAAAATCTTGATTCATGTTTATATTGTGCAGCTGTACACCTTCTCCTATACACATCCCTCCAATTCGCTCAACTACCGCGGCAGGGCCAGCATGGAGCCGGTGGACGCCTCTGGCACGGAGAAGGCGTTTGAGCCGGCTACAGGCCGAGTTATAGCTACTTTCACATGTTTGGGAGAAAAGGAAGTAAGTTTGGATGTTGAAAATGCAAAGGCTGCCTTCAAAATATGGAGTAAAAAATGTGGGAGGGAGCGTTGCCAAATCCTTTTAGAGGCTGCCCGGATAATAAAGGAGCGGAAAGATGAAATTGCGACTGTGGAGACCATTAACAATGGCAAGTCCATCTTTGAGGCCCGACTAGACGTTGACACTTGCTGGCAGTGCCTGGAGTATTATGCAGGCCTGGCTGCATCCATGGCAGGTGAACACATCCAGCTTCCGGAAGGGTCCTTTGGCTACACCAGAAGAGAACCACTTGGGGTGTGTGTGGGGATTGGAGCATGGAACTATCCCTTCCAGACTGCCTGTTGGAAGTCAGCTCCAGCTTTGGCCTGCGGTAATGCCATGATCTTTAAGCCTTCTCCCTTTACCCCTGTGTCTGCTTTGCTCCTGGCTGAGATCTACACCCAAGCTGGCATGCCGCCTGGGCTCTTCAATGTGGTGCAAGGTGGGGCTGCCACAGGCCAGTTTCTGTGTCAGCATCAAGATGTGGCCAAGGTCTCCTTTACTGGAAGTGTGCCCACTGGCATGAAGATCATGGAGATGTCAGCCAAAGGAATCAAACCTGTTACCTTGGAACTTGGGGGCAAATCTCCTCTCATCATCTTCTCAGATTGTAATATGGAGAATGCTGTGAAGCGGGCACTGATGGCCAACTTCCTCATGCAAGGCCAGGTTTGCTGTAATGGCACAAGAGTATTTGTGCAAAAGGAAATTATTGATAAATTTACAAAAGAGGTTGTGAAGCAGACCCAAAAGATAAAACTTGGAGACCCCCTCCTGGAAGATACAACCGCCCACATCTGGAGCGAGTCCTTGGGTTTGTTAAATTGGCAAAGGAGCAGGGTGCTAGTGTGCTGTGTGGTGGAGATCTGTATGTACCCGAGGATCCCAAATTAAAAGAAGGATATTACATGACACCTTGCATTTTAACTAATTGCAGAGATGATATGACCTGTGTGAGAGAGGAGATCTTTGGGCCAGTTATGTCCATTTTATCATTTGACACTGAAGCTGAAGTTCTGGAGCGGGCCAACGATACCACTTTTGGACTAGCAGCTGGTGTCTTTACCAGGGACATCCAGCGGGCTCACAGGGTGGCAGCCGAGCTTCAGGCTGGAACCTGCTACATTAACAACTATAATGTCAGCCCAGTGGAGTTGCCTTTTGGTGGATATAAGAAGTCAGGATTTGGCAGAGAAAATGGCCGGGTGACAATTGAGTATTATTTACAGCTGAAGACGGTGTGTGTGGAGATGGGCAATGTGGAATCTGTTTTTTGAAAACCTGTGGTGGAGTCTGTACATGTGGCCAGGCTGTGGAATGAGTGGACTGTTGTGTTGGTGACTGGGTAGTGTCTGAAATCCAGGCTTTGGGCCATTTGGGATGAGGGAATGGTCAGGGTTGTCCTCCATCTTGGAGTCACCTTCCTAATTGAAAATATGTGCAAGTGCCTTTCAGACACTAACCAAGGAAGCAGTGCTGTTCTTCCAAGCAGGTTTCTTTTAAACGCCAGCAGCACACTGACCAGAGAACAGGCAGGCCAGGATTGTGCTTCTATGCATTTGAGCCACTAACATTGTTAATTTCCTAGCTCACTTTAAAGAACTTGTTCCTTTGAAGGTTCCTGACAGAATCAAAAGAAATGCCTTTTGTTCATTGAAAATTTTTGAAAATTTCTTAAAGCTTTTAGTTCGAGACAGAAAAATTCTAATTACTTATGGAAAACATGTATGTGATTCATTGACATTTTTAAAGCAGTATTCTTTTGGGTCAGTGAAATAGCTCAGTGGGTAAAGATACTTGCAATGCAAGCCTGACGACCTGAGTTTGATTCTGAGAACCAACATAAAGGTGGTGCATGCTCCATCCCCATATCATACATACAATAATAATAAAATTCTGAAAAAAACCCCAAACCCTGTATTCTTTTGTCATTTTATTGAGAAAGCTAACAATCTGGATAGAGAGGGCAACAGATTGGGTCAAAGTTTATCTTAGTAAATGCTTTGATTCCATTATTTCCATAGAAGACATACCTCTGGTCCTTGAACTGCAGCCCACTCTCTTACAGTAGAAGAGAAGGCTTTTGAATTACATGAATTATTTGTATGTAACTGTGGCATAGTGAAATTAAAATAATTCACACTGTTAAAAAAATGGTGATTTTCATACAATATAATTTGATGATCTTTAGATCCCCTTCTCTACCCATAACTCCCCTTACAGCTCCTCACCCAATTTAATGTACTCTGTTATACATACATATATCTCTATCATCTATCTATCTATCTATCTATCTATCTATCTATCTATCTATCTATCTATCTATCTATTTCTATCTACCTATCATCCAT